TCAATGTTTGGCAACTATCATTTCCGTCACGACAATGTTCTCATCAGGCTGGGTCGGGGAGTGAAGCTCTTCGCACTACACTGAATATCATTTATCACTGCGTGTCAAAGAGTACATCACAAATCATAATAGCATAAAAATACACTGAGTGAAGCTCTGCATTCATCGCAATATTACTTTATATCAACCATCATCATCAACACACAGCTCACGGGACAAAAGACGGGGAATCAGTGTGGTCAAGCGAGGCGGGGCAGGTCAGAAGGACGTGAGGTCACCCGAGCGGGGTGGGGCAGCACTGGGCGAGGCGAGGCTGGCCAGGCCCAGCCAGGCTGGTGTGTTGCGGGTGAGGTGGGGAGGAGCCGAGGCGTGGTTGATCGGGCCAGGCCGAGGCTTCGCGGGGCGGGGAGGGGCACGGAACGGAGGGGCGGGGCAGGGCGGGGCAGGGATGGGAGGAAGGGTAAGGAGGGTGAGGTAAGGATTAGGACAGGGAGGAGGATGTAGGTTAAAAGACATGTTAAGTTATAACAGTTAGTACAGACACCGCTTTCATCACTGAAACACAATGGCTACATTTAACACTGACCAACAATCAAACTGCACTTGGGCTACTGAGAATGCCACAGATAGCGGGTGACACTGAGAAATTACGTTAAGCACTGAACATATTTCTATTAAAAATTCGCGCATACCACCACAAGAGACATTTACTTGAGCTGTAACGGAGACACACTAGGACACTTTTCACGCTACTACGCAGGAACTTCTTATCACGCACTTTTGAACTAACGAGCCAGGTGTTATGGCTAACCGAGGGAAGGCGTGAGTTACGTTAAGTTCGCTGGCACCATTGTAATGAGACAAAGACACAAGGAGAGGAAGAATATATATAAGTAGGAAGTATAGAGAGTAGGAATGTAAAGATAGGAAACTTGGTAGCGTGGCCTGGATGTTATTTGCACAGCGTCACTACGCTTATCTTATCTCGTATGTCAATACACGTATATCACTTCTTAAAGGGACAACTTGTTAAACACCTCTTCGATACAACTATTTATTAATTCACTCAATGACATGGACACATTAATATCACTATTATATCGGGGTACTAACACATTATGCTTTACGTTACTTGACACTGACTCTCGGACACACCTGAATGAATACACTTCCCACAGTAGGTAACTCACCCTAGGACGTTCTGACAAGACTCACGTGTACCCTGACGTAGGCCCAGTGGGTGCTGGCTGGGCTGCCTCCTATGGGAGAATCTGCTTAGCTGGTGATGCTGTGGTCTGGTCGGGAGGTCTCCCTCCCGACCTGGGGAGGGGACGTGCGTGACTCTGCTTAGTGAACCGAGAGACGACCCGAACGGGAGAGAGATGACAGCAACCAGAATGATAATCGTAATGGACTGTCGAATAGGAATCTCGAATGCCCGTGGACGGGACTGTAGGGCCTTTATATGGGGTCGGCCCAGCCGGCTTCTGACCTCTAACAATTAACACTAAACTGGTTTGATCTGGTGGTGTGTGCAGGTGTGGTCCTGGCCAGGTGTCTTGGCTAGGTGCGGGTGTAGGTCACCGGCTCACGTCATTAGCGGGCGAGGTCAAGTCCCTTGGGTCGACCTGAGGTGTGTCAACCCGGAATGTGGTGGTGCCACGAGGTCTGTGGTGTACTTGCTGTTATATGTGACATAATTCTGGGCTGTAAGCTTTGGTCTGACAATCAATCATTACATATATATATATATATATATATATATATATATATATATATATATATATATATATATATATATATATATATATATATATATATATATATATATATATATATATATATATATATATATATATATATATATATATATATATATATATATATATATATATATATATATATATATATATATATATATATATATATATATACATATACACACACACACACACACACACACACACACACACACACACACACACACACACAGTAGTACCCCGCTTAACGCGGTCAATAAAACCCACAGGGTACCGTGTTAAGTGAAAACCGCGCTAAGTGAACAACAGAACATATGGGATTAATTCCAATAGAAACCGGCCCGACCCCCTATCTCCACTTTTTCCGACACAATACCTATGTTCTAGTAAAAATAACATCTAAATTTTATGATGGTACATGCACACAATTAATACTTAAGAGAAATACAGTCGCCAAGTTAATTTCCATTCAAATAATGGACTCAACTCCCTCCCCCTCTTCTCACACTACACTTCTGGCTCTTCCCTCTCTGAGAAATTTTTGGGGGAAAACCACTAAATTTTAATAAATAATGCCTCAAACTAAAGTTAGGATAATACAATTGACATTGCTGGATTCCTTGTAAGACCAGGAATATTTTGAATATAAATGTCATATATTTTGCACAAAAGATAACATATTTACTCAGAGTAAACATTATATCTAAAATTTGTATGTCTAATGCAAAATCTATGATGTTTATATTCAAAATGATCACCAAATTGTAAGAATTCCAGCAATGTAAATTATATTCTGGCCGGGTAATTTGTATGAATTTCATGAGCTAAAACAAATATCTTCAGTTAATAAAAAAAAAACATATTCTTCACGACACTATCTGTCAATCAAAGTACCCCACCTTGTCTTCCCCTCTTCCAACCGCGCGGTCAGTCCCAATCCTCCCCCCCACCCCCCACCAATCCTCCCTTCAAGAGATGTTGGGTGAAAAAACTAAATTTTAACATTTAGTATTAAATAATACCTCAGATTAAAGTTAGGATAATATAATTGACATTGCTGGATTCCTTGTAAGACCATGAATATTTTGAATATAAATGTCATATATTTTGCACAAAAGATAACATATTTAGTCAGAGTAAACATTACATCTAAAATTTGTATGTCTAATGCAAAATCTATGATGTTTATATTCAAAATGCTCATCAAATTATAAGAATTCCAGCAATGTAAATTATATTCTGACCGGTAATTTGTATGAATTTTATGAGCTTAAACAAATATCTTCAGTTAATAAAAAAAAAACATATTCTTCACACGGTAACAGAGGGTCGGTTGGTCCCTCCCTCCCCCCCACCCCCCACCAACCGTCACTACCAGATGTGTGGGAAAACCAGAATATTTACCTTTCTAGTAATAAATAATACCTCAAACTAAAGTTAGGATAATATAATTGACATTGCTGGATTCCTTGTAAGCCCAGGAATATTTTGAATACAAATGTCATATATTTTGCACAAAAAATAACATATTTACTCAGAGTAAACATTATATCTAAAATTTGTATGTTTAATGCAAAATGTATGATGTTTATATAAAAAATGATCATCATATTGTAAGAATTCCAGCAATGTAAATTATATTCTGGCCGGGTAATTTGTATGAATTTTATGAGCTAAAACAGGCAGTCAGGCAGGGTGGCAGGTGGGGGATGGGGCGAATCTAAAAATAGCTCTCGAGCCGGACACTCACCGCGTATACGTGGAAAAAGCCCGCGTTAAGTGAAAGTTCGGCTCTGGCGAGGCACCGCGTATACGGTAAAACGCGCTAAGCGATACCGCGTTAAGCGGGGTAATACTGTGTATATATATATATATATATATATATATATATATATATATATATATATATATATATATATATATATATATATACAGTGAGTTCTGCTATAACGCGTGTTTTGATAACGCGAATTTGCTCTAACGCGATTTATGAATTCGGAACAATATTTGTATAACGCGATCGCTTGTTTGCTATAACGCGATTTTTGCTTACTATTTCTCCAATTTTGTGGTATTAACTGTGAATATGGTAAAGAAGAATATCTCCAAAAAGCATTCTGATGATAGAATTCCCGGTGATTATCGTAAAAGAAAGGATATAACACTTGAAGAGAAGCTTGATGTTATCAAACTCAAAATCACCCTTCTCCCCCATCAAGTTACATTCATATTTTTTCAAGGTAAAGTGTTAAATTTACTGTATGATTTCATTATTAGATATGAATGTAACATTTATTTAGACTGTGCTATCCTTTGTGTTAGGCTAACTACTAAATTTTTTCGATTTCGAGTAAACTGCACCTAACCCTATTTTCTCCATAAGCCCTGTTATTTCTATTACGCGATTTTCTATAACACGATATTTTACAAGAACACAATTATCACGTTATAGCAGAACTACCTGTATGTATGTATGTATATATATATATATATATATATATATATATATATATATATATATATATATATATATATATATATATATATATATATATATATATATATATATATATATATATATATATATATATATATATATATATATACATATATATATATAGCTCGGTTTGAACCAATTGTCAGTGTTGGAAGTTAGCTTAAATAACAGTCTGTAGACTTGATGGATGAATAATGAGTTTCCTTGTCTCAACTCTATGAAACGACTGCTTTATTCCAATGTTAAACGGGTTGGTTCACATATTTTATATTGGGCTTTAGTAAGGAAACCCAATAGAAGTTTCTTGTTTTATTAGAAAAGTATCATGTATATAATTCTTGAGTGTAGATCAACCGTAAGTTCCACTATTTATGAGTGTGATGAGAAAGGGACCTCGTTTATGTATATAAACGTGAATCAACGTCCGTTCGATATTAGTTGGTGTGAGTGACTGACTAAAGGCGTCACCTTGGTACGCGCTTACATAGATGCTGACATATGGGCTTCTCCCTCTTGGGAAAGCTACCGTTCACGTGTTCAGTTCATGTCCTCATAGATAGTGGAAAATTATAGGGGGTGAATCTGAATATAAATCAGATGTAAATAACCCATTTATATAATACTTCTGTTGATGAGACAGGGGCCATTACATCTACTAGTTGACTTTTTCAAGAAGAGTTTGATTTTTTAAGCTAACCCCAAGATTTGTATGAACTCCATAAGTTAAACATGAAATATGTTTCAGGTTCAGCTATGGCTACAGCAATTCAAAGAGGCCCTCTGAAGAATATCGGAACTATGTTTATGCAACTGCATATTATGCATCATATACTAAGGATCCAAGGCTGTATGTAGTAATCCCCAGTGGCGTGACTGTGTTGGTTTCTGGCGTCATGGTTCTGGCTGGCATCTGCTCAAGGAAAATCTTTGCGACCTCAGTTGTAAGTATATTATAGAAAACGTTTATAGTTATTTTGCCTTCTGTTTCTGCTTCCTGCAAGGCTTTGGGGATATTGAAGTGGTCAGGAGCACGGCAGTTGAATGATATATAGGACTCGCCTACTGTTCCAGGGGTCGGTGGTTCAATTCCTGGGCGCTCTTAGTTCACCCAGCTGTAAATGGATATCTAAGTTGCAACTTGGAGAGGTGAAGGCAGTCAAGAGCAGTAAGGCCATGCTGCCTCCTTGTGTACCAAAGGCTCGGTGTACAGTGTGCTGTAACCACACTGTCCCTAAGGGGCAGTTATGCCTATGGGACTCACATTCACGTTTTTTTTTCACCATCAGTCATTTTCTTAAAGTTCCTTATATTAATTAAAGATTTACTGTAGTAGGAAAGAGATACTTTTGCTTTAGAGAATACAGTAGTATCTCCATATCATTTCTTAAACCAGAAGGTTTGAATGACTTTTACATTGTAACCATACATTGATTAACTTTGTATAGGAAGCATGTCTCAGGTGTTGACTCCCTCTAGCCATTGGGCACCAGGTTGTTTGACTGGGATATAAAAAATGAATAAATTTGAAAATGCAGTTATCCATTACCTTCACAGTGTTTTCCAGGATTTAGTTGGATTGCTCCCTTTGTGGGTAGAAGCTGAGCATGGAATTGGAAGGTGACTGATACCACCTACCTTTCTTTTCTAGCAGCTTTTAGTTCTTCAGTATACTGTACAGAATTGCTTGAGCCCATTTTATGTGTGGTTATAAATGGTGAATTGATCCTTAGATCTCATTTGAGCAGCTTGACATCCCTTTGTCTTTCCCGTAGGGGACTGACCTCCTCTAGAATATAGAAGCTATATATTTTTAGTGTAAAGTATACAGTATTTACTTTATACAGTATATGTATTTTATCCATACACTGTAGTTGGTACAATATATTTAAATAGAAAATCCTTTTTAAGTGAATATGACGTGTCATGACTTAAATTGTTACTATGCCGTATGTATTATATACAACCAAGCAATCAATCACTCCTCCCATTGAGGTACTACGGTGAGCCAGATCTGATGTGCGGGTCTTTATAGATGATATTGAAGAGATGCAGATTACAGTGTACATGTTTATGTTTGGCCACAAAATCTCTTCCACCTCCTTCCTTTTAAGGGCGCCTCCAGTTCAGTGAACCCTTGAAGATTTGGACCCGGTAAATCCGGATATCGGAAGATTCAGAAAAAATTTGTTGGTTCTGGGGGCTAAGAAGCATTCCCAAAACAGAGCAAAGATCATCTTAGGCCCATGTAACTAAGATGTCAGCTTGTGAGACATGGGTCCCCGAGGCAGGAAGCATAATCAGAGTTGTCAATTATTGTTCGTAGGAATATTATTTCATTCACTCTAGTAATGATACAATGTTTCTTATTATGTTATCGCAGGTAAATGCGTGGTTTATATGATTTGTTTATCACTGTGCCTGTCACCATTTTCAAATTTGACAACAAGATAATTTATGTATTTCTTCTATACGTACTGTACTGTATTTCGACCATACGCCTGGCAACCCCCCTTTAGTCCGGTTCTTCGGGGGTGTAGCCATTTCCGGTTACCTGAGCCTGACTAATGAGAGGTAACTTAGTAGCTACATATAAAATTCTTCATGGGTTAAGTTTGCAAAACCCAAATGGCCTTTTCTCCATTTAATTTGAAGAATAAACTGTTCACACTCATCAAGGATATCACACTAATTAACAATGTAAGCTGCGAGTGTTATGGAAGGACGGAAGCTTGTCTGAGATAAGCTTTTATGTCTCTCGTCCATCTGTTGTGAGTATTGAGTGGTAACTGGGTGTAAGTCTGCTCAAGGGACCTGAGTTAATATCCCTAGAGACATTACGTTGCCAGTGGAAAATTACTGATCACATGATGCATATATGACACTGACTGTTCATGGAAAATTACAGGGGTGATGGAATTATATAAGACTGATGTATTTACCTATACTGTACAGTGGTCCCTCAGTTAACGAGCAAAATCCATTCCAGCAGGTTGCTCGTTAACCGAAAATCTCGTTAACCGAAACCATTGTTTCAATGGGTTTTTGGGTAATTGGTTCCAGCTCACCGAAAATTGCCTAAATTCAAAATTTTTTTTAGAAATTGACACTTACCTTGAGGTGTGTATGTAGAAGGCTCCTGGATGATGATGCTGATATGAATTTGAAGTGGGAGGTGGAGGAGGAGAAGGGAGAAGAGAAGGAAGTGGAGGTGGAGGTTAACGAGCAAAATCCATTCCAGCAGGTTGCTCGTTAACCGAAAATCTCGTTAACCGAAACCATTGTTTCAATGGGTTTTTGGGTAATTGGTTCCAGCTCACCGAAAATTGCCTAAATTCAAAATTTTTTTTAGAAATTGACACTTACCTTGAGGTGTGTATGTAGAAGGCTCCTGGATGATGATGCTGATATGAATTTGAAGTGGGAGGTGGAGGAGGAGAAGGGAGAAGAGAAGGAAGTGGAGGTGGAGGAGAAGCATTTTACTGCTTCTTGGAAGCTGAGTCACCTTCCATGAAAATGTCAGGAACCTCTGGACTGACATTTTCTCCACCATGAACATCCTCTCTTCTTCTTGAAGTGGAATGCTGAGGGCTAGCATCATCCTCTCTCCTTCTTGAAGTAGAAGGCTGAGGGATAGCATCTTGTTCCCTCTGCCTTTTACTGAAGAAAGTGTCAATTGTGGTCTGTGGAGCATCTCTCCTCCTCACCATTAACTTATGTTTAAAGAAGGAGACCACTGAGTCCTCAACATGACACAAAGTTAGTTCAGTTTTTTCCTCATCTGGGTGCTTTGAAGCCAGTTCCCTGAACTTCTCCCAGTGGTAAATCACATCTTTCAACTCTTTAGTTGACATATGGTCATAACTTTCAATTTCCTCCTCACCACCGTCAGCCTCTAACATCTCATCCAGTTGCTTCAAGTCATCAGGAATAAGTTCCTCCTCATGAGACATCACAAGCTCTTCAACATCATCCTCTTCCACTTCAAGGCCCAATGACTGACCAATGGACACAATCTCCTGGTCCAACTCTGTTTCTTCCTCAAATCCCTCAAAATCATGGACTACTGATGGCCACAGTGCTTTCCATGAAGAATTTAGGGATCTAGTGGAGACTTCTTGCCATGATGACACAATCAATTTTACAGCCTCCAGGATGTTGAATTGTGTCTTCCAGAATTGTTTCAGTGTTAGTTCAGGATCATTGGAAGTTGCCTGATGACACCTCCTAAACATTTTCTTCATGTACAACTTCTTGAAGTTGCTGATCACATTCTGGTCCATTGGCTGTATGATTGATGTAGTGTTCGGGGGCAAAAACAACACTTTCACAAAGTCAAATTGATACTCCAAAGTTCTGGCAAGTTCAGGGTCATGACCAGGAGCATTATCCATGAGGAGAAGAGCCTTTAAAGGGAGTATATTGGTGGTTAGGTAGCTCTTGACAGAAGGGCAAAACACATCAACAGCCCATTCATTAAAGAGCTGTCTTGTCAACCCATGCCTTATGGTTGGACTTCCAATACACTCCAAGCTTTGTTCTTACCACTTTCTGTTGCTTGAACACCCTGGGGTTTTCAGAGTGGTAGACAAGCATAGGCTTCAGTCGGAAATCCCCTGAAGCATTGGCACCAAGCAATAGGGTGAGACGGTCTTTCATGGGTTTATGCCCAGGAAAAGAGGCTTCATCTCTGGTGATGAATGTTCTTTTGGGCATCTTTTTCCAGAACAGCACAGTTTCGTCCACATTGAACACTTGCTGTGGAAGATAATTTTTATTCTTCCATCAGTTCTTTAAATTCCACTAAAAACTTTGCTGCCCCTTCCTTATCAGCACTAGCAGCTTCACCATGCCTAACAACACTGAAAATGTCACTTCTTTTCTTAAATTTTTTGGCCCAAAAATCTTCAAATTCTGTGCCTGAAGAACCAGGTTGATCTGTCTTTAAATGTTCGTAAATCTCCCTGGCTCTTTCACAAATGAATTCAGTAGAAACTGAATCACCTTTCATCTTTTTTTCCGTAATCCAGATGAGAAATAACTTCTCAGCTTCTGCTATTAGGGATCTACCTTTGAACACTCTGGTAGATTTGTCTTTCACTTTCACTTCTTTAAATTTGTCTTTCTGTGCAAGAATTGTCGACACAGTTGATGTCGACATGCCATATTGTTTGCATAGTGCATTTGTTCTAATGCCTTGTTCATGTTTTTTTTATAATTTCCTGCTTGGTTTGGATTGAAATCGCTTTTCTTGATCTCTTAGGCCCCATGCTGCATTCAAACAATGGCAACACGTGATCTTTTAAGTTTAAACTACTGTAGCTGTAGATAAAGAATATTTTCTTTAAAATAACACTGCACTGCACTATATATTGTCAATATGTAAACTAAATTTCAAAATGACCAATACTTTGCTTGTAAACACAGAAAAAAAGCATTTAGTTGAAGAGAGTCTCAAGCAAGATGTTACCTCCACTGAAAACAGAGAGAGACTAACGCTTGTTTGGTGTGTTAAAAGGCTGGATGGCGCGCATAAAACTAGTGACTTTACTTTCAATTATGTTCAATAATTGTTAAAATGACTAAAAAATTTAATATTAAACTTTTAAAATTATTGAATAGTATAAACTTCTTGATATTTACTAAAATAGTAAGGAATTTAAGCCCCAGAACCGATTACTGTATTGGCGGACTAATACTACAGCTGGTTGATCACCAAGTGCAAGCGAAAACATGTTGAGGTCGGCTCGTAAGAAACTCGTTAACCGAGGGATTGCTCGTTAACCGAAGTTAAGAATCTTATGGGAGGTAACTCGTTAACCAAGGCGCTCGTTAAGTGAGGGATCACTGTATTTATATACGTAAGTACTACTGTATTTCAATCATAAGCCTGACAACCCTATTTTAGATCAGTTCTTCGAGGTTTCACTGTAATTTGATTTAT